GTGTGTAGTAAAGTGTGTATGAATGTGTGTAGTAAAGGGTGTATGAATGTGTGTAGTAGTGTGTATGAATCTGTGTAGTAGAGTGTGTATTAATTTTTTGTAGTAGAGTGCTCTATGAATGTGTGTAGTAGAGTGTTGTATGAATGTGTGTAGTAGAGTGTGTATGAATGTGTGTAGTAGAGTGTTGTATGAATGTGTGTAGTAGAGTGTGTATGAATGTGTGTAGTAGAGGCATGTATGAATAGTAAATAGTAAATGGACTGAACTTATGTAGCTCCTTTCTATCTGATCAAGATACTCAAAGCTCTTTACAACAATCTGTGTTCTCATTTACCCATTCCCAGTTTTCAGTTGATCCAAAATGCTGCTGCCAGAGTCTTAACTGGAGTTATTGGGAGAGATCATCTCTCTCCAGTTTCAGCTTCTCTCCATTGGCTCCCTGTCAAATCCAGAATAGATTTCAAAATCTTACTTCTTACCTACAAAGCTCTCAACAACCTAGCTCCATCTTATATTACATCTTATTTTTCCATATTTTCCTAACAGAGCACTTAACTCTCAGACTGCTGGTTTACTTGTGGTTCCTAGAATTTACTAAAACAGAATGGGAGGCAGATCTTTCTGTTCTCAGGCTCCTCTCTAGTGGAACCAACTTCCAATCTCTGTCCGTGAGGCTGACACATTGTCCAGTTTTAAAATTGGGCTTAATACTTTCCTTTTTGCTAAATCCTATAGTTAGTATTCTGCTATAGGCTTAGCCTGCTGGAGGACAAACTGACCACAATTTTCACTCTGCTACTGTCTTTACTTACTCTGCACAACCTGTTTTGTATTTGTGATTAGTTTTTCTATCCTTAACATGGTTTTTGTCTTTCAGATAGACCTGGACCTAAATGACCTACCATTCTGTGTTCGTCTGTCTCTCCTTCCTGTCCTCTCAAACCAGCCGGTCAAAGCAGATGGTCTCTTGTCCTGAGCTGGTTCTGCTGGAGGTTTCTTCCTGTTAAATGGAGTTTTTATTTCCACTGTCTCCACTGTGCTTGCTCAGGATGGGAGACTGCAACGAAGCCAAGATTCAACTTGTCTGCTACATTCCTTAGATAGAGAACTTTACTAATTGGCTTTTATGTGAATGTTCCTGTAAAGTGCCCTGAGACAACTTTGTTGTGATTTGGCGCTTTAAAAATAAACTGAATTGAATTGAATTTAATTTAATTTAATTGGTGATACCAGCTATGTTGTATGGTCTGGAGAAAGAGACTTGGACAAAAAAGACAGGAGAAAGAACTGGAAGTAGCAGAAATGAAGATGTTGAGGTTCTCCTTAGGAGTGACAAGGATGGAGAAGATCAGGAATGAGATCATCAGAGGTACAGCACAGGTTGAACAACTGGGATATAAAGTTAGAGAGGCCAGGTTGAGATGGTTTGGACAGTCCAGAGCAGGGACATTGGTTTGGACATGTCCAGAGTAGGGACAATGGATATATTGGTAGAGAAATGTTAGAAATGCAGCTGCCAGGAAAAAGACATAGAGGAAGACCAAAGAGAAGATAAACGGATACAGTTAGTGAGGACATGATGGTATTTTGAGTGAGGACAAAGTGAGATAGAGGAGGATGACTCACTGTGGTGACCCCTGAAATAGGAACAAGCCTCCTGTTGGATAAATGGTAAATGGTAAATGGACTGTACTCATATAGCGCCTTTCTATCTGATCAAGATACTCAAAGCTCTTTACAAAAATCTGTGCCTCATTTACCCATTCAAACAGCTCTATACTAGATCTCTACAAAGATAATTGAACAAATCATCCTAAAGAGACTAATCAGAGCTTTATCACATTCAAACACTGATGGGACACACATCAGAGGCTATGAGGGGATCAGTGTCTTGCCCAGGGACACCTCGGCATGTGACTGCTGGTGAATTCGAACCCCCAACTCTCGTATTGGAGGACGACTGCTCTAACCACTCAGCCACAGCCGCCCCTGTATGATGTATGAATGGATAAATGAGACAGATTGTTGTGAAGAGGTTTGATTGTCTTCATAAGATAGAAAGGCGTTGTATAAATACAGTCCATAAAAATCCTCAACAGAAAGTTTTGTTGGAGTACTTGTTTCCATTTTATAATTTTTTTTTTTTTTTTTTTTTTTTTTTTTTTATAATTGAATTTATAATATTGATATATATTTATATATAACTGAAAACAAAACGGTAAATCTGTCTTTGGGGACAAGTTAACTAACCCAAATTTTAATGACCTTTACCAGAGAACAGCATGTGCACAAAGGAACTAATTAAAACAAGAAACAAAACGTACAGTTTTGTTATAAAATGTGTTTAAAGCAGTTGTATGGCTACAAAATGTTCCTGACAAATTAGCCTGACTCTAAGATTATCACTGTTCGCTCAAACATCCTCAGAGTGGAAACAGCTCTGCGAACACTTTGTGGCTTTTCTGAGCCTGAACGTTGATCTCTTCTTAGCATCATTTCACGCACGGACAATAAAAACATAACCTGCACATGAGCTGACTTTCCATGAAGGTGTTTCAGTAGTCAGGGCCAAGATCAATTCATAAATCACAACAAAAGATAAGAAATGGAGCCGTGTTTTGTCTGCTCGGTCAGTGAACGTTGGCTCGACACATGAGCGCTCTGGTTTGTTTTGTGTCCCTGCAGAGCTGCAGAGGGAGGGCAGCATCGAGACCCTCAGCAACAGCTCCGGATCCACCAGCGGCAGTATCCCACGCAACTTCGAAGGATACCGCTCTCCCCTGCCCACCAACGAGAGCCAGCCGCTGAGCCTCTTCCCCACCAACCTCCCATAGAGGCCCACGTGTGTGTGCTGAGCCACCGTCACATGTCACACTGGAACGACTGTGCCGTCGATCAAAAGATCCAGTTTTAGGAGTCTCTTCCCGGGTTTGGAGTCAGGATTTTGTTTGTTGGAACTTTAGCAGATTTTAGGTTTGTTGTTAATGTGACCATTTTAAAGTAAATCAAGCTGAAAAAGGAAAGTTTAGAGGAATTCAGTCAGAGACGTTTGAAAAATCATAAATTTAACTGTTCCAAACTTTGATCGACTGAGATTAAAGATAACCCACATTTTTAGTATTCATTTAACGCAGGCTGTTGTGTTGAAGAGCCCCCCACACACACACACACACACACACACACACACACACACACACACACCACCACCAGCAGCAGCCATAATTTTCTGACTGTGTTTAAATGTGGGGGTGTTTCTATTGTCTATGAGCTCAAAGAAAATAAAACATAAAAAATGCTTGTGCACGCTCACTACATGTTTTCTATTGAATTTCCTTCCTTTGATGTTCCTGTAAGTCCATTTTGGACAACAGCTGCGGTAAAGACACAATGCCATGTTGGAGGCGTCATTTCCATGTTTAGGAAAATATCTTTCTCAAATCATCTAGCTCAGTCACAAAAAGGTTAAACCAGCTCATCTGGACAGTTTCTTACTGGGAGAAACGTTTCTTCAGTCTGAGGCCTGCCACCAACATCTGTCATACAAACAGCACCTACGTGACGTGTTTCAAACCAGCTGCTGTGGACTTCACAGGAACTGGTTTTAAACCTGCAGGATGGACCATCAGTCTCAAACAATCCATCATCAGCGCAGAACAATCAAATGTTTTAGGCAAGATGGCCGCTGACTACTCACAGAACCAGCCTGAGGACAACCTGGACAAAATGGTTCAAAAAACAAAACAACTAAGTATGCTCAGTCATCCAGGTAAATAATCACTAAAGAAGTTAAATCATCAACCCCTCTTTATTTTTAAACCATTTTGTCCAGGTTGTCCTCAGGCTGGTTCAGTGAGTAGTCAGTGGCCATCTTGCCTACAACATTTGATTGTTCTGCACTGGAATCTGAGGTCATGGTCCTCAGTCAGAACAGGGTGGATTGTTCTCTTCAGGTCGAGGGTGAGGTTCTGCCTCAACTAGAGGAGTTCAAGTATCTCAGGGTTTTGTTCACGAGGGAGGAAAGAATGGAGCGTGAGATTGACAGATGAATTTATGCTGCATCTGCAGTATTGTGGACTCTGTGCCGGTCCGTTGTGGTGAAGAGGGAGCTGAGCTGTAAGATAAAGATCTCTGTTTACTGGTCAGTCTACATTCCTCCCCTCACCTCTGGTGATGAACTCTGGGTAGAGACTGAAAGAATGAGATCGTGGATCCAGGAGGTTGAAATGAGTTTCCTCTGCAGGAGCTGGACTCTCCCTCAGAGACAGCGGGAGAAGTTCAGTTATCAGGAGAGACTCAGAGTAGAACCTCTGCTCCTCCACATCCAGAGGAGCCAGTTGAGGTGGTTCAGGCATCTGGTAAGGATGAAACCTGGGTGCCTCCCTAGGGAGGTGCTTCGGCCATGTCCGACTGGGAGGACACGCTGGAGGGACTACGTCTCTCTGTTGGTCTGGGAAGACCTTGGAGTCCTCCCAGATAAACTGGAAGAGATGTCTGGACCTCCCTGATCAAGAAGCTGCCCCTGAGACCTGAGTCCAGAACAAGAGGAAGATGAATGGATGGATGGATGGATGGATGCATGGATGAATGGATGCATGGATTGTTTGAGACTGATGGTCCATCCTGCAGGTTTAAAACCAGTTCCTGTGAAGTCCACAGCAGCTGGTTTGAAACACGTCAAGGAGGTGCTGTTTGTATGACAGATGTTGGTGACAGGCCTCAGTCTGAAGAAACGTTTCTCCCAGTAAGAAACTGTCCAGATGAGCTGGTTTCACTTCTCTGACATTATTTACTTGGATGTACTTGGTCTTTGTTATTTTCCATGTAGCTCAGTGTTTCCACACACTAACTTTTGATTGTAGAGTAATTCCGTAGTGGTTTTCGTGGTTTGTACTTTCTGACCATTTGTTTCTGCACCAAGCTCTAGATGTTGAAACTAACCTGCTTCACGTGCGCTGCTGTCTGCAGACAGGACTGATGTTTGAAACGGACCTCCAGAACTTGTGTAGTAGCTGCAGGAGGTGTGAACGTGTGAAAAATAAATGTGCTCTGGACGAACTCTGTGCTCGTTGTTTGTTTCTGCTGCTCTGGAGTCAACACTTCCTGTTGACGAAACAACACAGTCGTCAATTCACGTTTCAAACACGAAGACGTTATAAAAACTGTTTTTGATCTTTTCTTTCTTTGAAAAGCTGTTTATATTTTAGTGACATCACAGAACAGCTGCACTTAACACAGAACTTTAAACGACATCATCAAAGCTGGACCTTCATTTGACAGGAACCAAGAGTTGACTCATGCTGAGTAAACTCATGATGTTTGTTGTTGTTGTGGTTGTTGTTGTTATTGTTGATTGGGGAAGTTATATCTATTTCAGAGCTATTCAACAAATCGGCTCAGGGGCCACAGTTACTAAGAGCCAGCGGTTCAGGGGCCGGGCCAGTTAATGTCATTCTGTAAATAATGCAAGTATTAAGATAAGAGACAAGGTAGAACTTTATTGATCCGGCATGAAATTGTTGAATGATATTAAATGATCTGTTATCTTTTAATTGGTTAATTTTGTTGTATTGAATCATAAAAGCAATAAACAGTACCCATCCCAAACCTAACACCCAAACCCAGAACACTTGTTCTTTTATGAACTCCCTGGCGGGCCGGACTGAAGTCGCCTGCAGGCAGGAAGTGGTCCGTGAGTGGGGTCTTCATGTTAATTTTATATATATATATATATATATATCCTCCCGGTGGGGAGGCGTCCAGGAGGCATCCTAACCAGATGCCCGAGCCACCTCAACTGGCTCCTCTCGACATGGAGAAGCAGCGGCTCTACTCTGAGTCCCTCCTGGATGACCGAGCTTCTCACCCTGTCTCTAAGGGAGAGCCCAGACACCCTGTGGAGAAAACTAATTTTGGCTGCTTGTATCCGAGGTCTCGTTCTTTCGGTCACAACCAAAAGCTCATGACCATAGATGAGGGTAGGAACGCAGATCGATCTGTAAATTGAGAGCTTTGCCTTTTGACTCAGCTCTCTCTTCACCACGACAGACCTGTACC